CCCCCCTTTTTTTTCCCTTGACAGATTTTTTTTCCTGGTGTTTTTTTTTGGGGGGGAGGGGGTTTGGTATTTTTGGTTAAACCATCTGGCAACCCTAGCAGTATGCAGTTCCAAATCAAACCAGAAGAAAAATGCTACTGGCTGCATATTGGTCCAGATGGCCCATCTTCTATAACTGCAGGTTATACATCTGGTACAGTGCAATTGTTCCAGGGAGAATTTTACCTACAGTGGATGGGAATAACACAAATATCGGACCAGGTCTTTGAGACCAGCCCATTTGCACTCAGTGCTGCGCAGGGATAGAGGAAATTTGTGTTCAATAATTTTTCATGTTGGTGCAATATGATTACTAATTTAACTTTTTTTTGCACAGGTTGAGTACAAATCTGAAGGATTTCTGGAAAAAAACAGAGATACAGTGTACGAAGTATTGATTGAAATTTTGAGAAACAGCAAGGTTAGTAAATTCATCATAGCTGTGTATTCTACTAGAGATACCAGAATTCTTCTTTAAGATGAAAATACTTTGTTCTAATGTTAAATTAAGAATGCCTTATTTTAAAGCTCTTACAAAGCATCTTCAAATGATTCCAAACTGTATACTTTTAATTTCAAAGTGACACTGCAAGTTAAAAGATCAGAATTTAGACTTAGTTTATGTATAGTTACCTTGCAAGTTAATATTTTTCATATTATCCAGTATTTCATAAGGTTCTTCATAAATGACCTAATGGAAGCTTGAAACTAAAATCTCAATATAGTAAAACTGCTTTTTTTGAGATCTAGGCAAAATTAATCTATTATATAACTTATGACTGCTGGTACTAATTATTTTTTAAGGATACAAAAAAATAGCAGGGAAAGGCATAGAAAGACTTACATTTTTGGCCTGCTGCTCCTGACAATCCTGCCCTCTTGTTAAATCTAACTTAATCTGACAAAACAAAGCAAATTATTAAATTTAAACAGCCTTGTTAAAATAATATCAATGGTCTTAATTTAACTCATACCTGTAACTGCGTCCACATGGGTATATCCTTATACCCCCAAACAGTTCCACTGAAGTCAGTGAGGCTTCGTGCAAGCCTGATTGCAGGTTCTGGGCCTTTGTTAGATGAAATCCAGCAATAATTGCTTCCTTTCTGATTAGTTATGAATCTTCAGTCAAAGGGTCCAGTCTCAAAAGCTACAAGATTTGGCTTAAGATCTAAGATTAGCAATGTCTGTTATGTCTCGTCCTTAGAATTCTTATATTAAAACTTTATTACAATTACTCCCAGTCTTACCTATGATCCTTTCTTTTATGCTTTTAGTTTCATCTGTGTGCAAACTTTTTTCAAGACCAGCAAGTGCCCATTTCACCTTTCAGATCAACTATAAAAGTCAAATCTGCAAAAACGGTGGTCAAGCCACCTAACAAACAGTTCCGGACCACAGTTGGCAGTAAGGTATAGAGTTTAGCTCAAGCTCTAAAGATTCGTACTTTTAAATCTAGAGGTTTCCACTTCAATCCCTGACATCAGCCAACAGGGCAGTAGTGAAACTTCCACATTCCTCCACTTTTTAGACACAACAAATCCTGCATGTTGCCAGCGTGCTAGCTTAGCTATTCCCTTCTAACCCTGTTGATTTGTGATTCTGTGAAGCAGAAAATATTGGTGATGTGCAAGCATTCAGAAATTTCTACTTGGGGACGTGAGATTCAGATTTATTCATACATGTGTATCTTCTACTATGACATTTAGAAACTTTATTGTGGGATGTCTAGTGTGTCTAGGGATAGCTACAGCTACTAGTCTACTGGTTTTGTGTGCAAGTGGGTGTATTTGTGTGTGAAAATATTCATGGTAAATAGTGCCAAACATTTTAATTATCTGAGAGGACTGCTGCCTATATTTTTGTCATAGTTTCTGGCAAGAGGCTAACTCAGAATCAAAAATCAAAGATGTATTACTTTGACGGGCATGTTAAATTAGCTAAGTTGTTACTTTAATATTTTCTAGTTTCGCAGTTCTTTGTATTTACTTATGGAAACACTTAATGCAACGACGCCTCACTATGTACGATGCATAAAGCCGAATGATGAGAAGTTACCATTCGAGTGAGTACATTAGTGCTGTTGAAATACTATTTTATCTTTAATATAAAGCAGTATGTAAAACTGAATATATATTCCTATTTTTTCAGTTTACCCAAATATCAGTAGTGTTTTATTAGATGAAGTTTGCATGCAGAATGCATTTTATTCCCTTAAAGATTACTAAAGTAAATCAATTTAATATTTTGTATAAACAGTGTTCACCTGAACTATATACATAGTTCACCTGGTTGAGTTAAAAAGGTTTCAAGCCATGGGGTATTTTGTTTATTGCTGTAATGGAATGCAAATCATTTTCGTTTTAGGTGGGTAGATATTTTATATGGACATGCTTGATCTTCCATGATGTAGATTAGTATATTCAGGTTTCTGGGAGGAAAAGTCACTACCGTGTTCATACTAGCTTTCCTTTTAACAAAAATATTTATAAAGGTGTTAGAAACATTCATAGAAAAGAGCTTTATGCAATGTCAATCACATCCAAAATGTTTCTTCCCAGAATACTTGCAAACATAATATTGGTGAATGAGAAGAGTATTTGTATTGTTGAGCATATGTCAGGTGTCCTACTTTATTTCAGAATTCCTATAGCCAACTTGGCTACTAATAGCTTTTAAATTGGAGTAGACTTTAATTACATCAAGCATGCATGCAACCATTAGTGAGTTTCATGTGCAGACATACAGGAAAATCTCTTGGCTCAAAAATAGGATATCTGCTAGTGGTGCTGACAGATACATGCATTGACAAAGGAGTTATACACCCTTTAGTCTGCCTTTGTGGTACCATGCTACATAGCCACAAAGATCTATTATTCAGGAACTGGCATTCTACGGAGTGCTTAACTAGGCTTTGAAAACATATATTACATTATACAATTTGCTAGTGAGAATTTACTTGTATGTATGTTATACATTGAGTATACTGTCTTATTCTGTGCCATGTGATAATATACACATTCAGACTTTAGCACTGGAAGGAACAAAGCCTCTATAAGAGAAAAATAAATGTATTGTTCATTTGTCTTTTGGGGGGAGGCCCTGAAGTTTAATTTCCATGATTTTTTCCATATGAAGAATTTGAGTCCAACATAAGATATCCGGAAAACTCCTTTGGGACCCTAAGTGCTTCGGGCATGAATAGAAATACAAAATGGCTTATATAATGTTATCAAAGAAATATTCTTTCCATTAAATACCATTTTCCTGAATAAATCCTAGAAATGAAACACTTGGTGGCCAGATTTGTGAACTCTTGATTAGTGGGTACTAAACTCAATATGCACTAGTGTTTTCAGGATTAAACTTTCAATATACCAGCATGTGAATGGGTGTGTGTGTAGAAAGACTGAGAAAAGAGTAAGTGTAAACTAGTCTGTCACAGTGAGTCAACAACACGGCTGATGGCCCTCTATTTCGTTCGCTTGCGTATTCACCCGAGCTGGATCCGTCGGTCAGCGGAGTAGGGGGGTTCGGGCCTGCCCCCTCTCCGAACCCCGGCCCAGGGCCCTAAAGGCAGGGACCCACGGTCCCTCCCTAGCGGATGGGGGAAGTGCCCCAAAACACACCCGCTCATGGGCACCACGACCCTGCCCTGGGCCGCTTCCTACTCCACCAGGCCCCCCGGCCCACCTCTGCCGCATTCCCCAGCCTCACCTCTCCCTTCTCTTTCCTCCCTGCCGCTCCGTTCACCTCCTCCCCCTTTGCAGTGCCGGCCCCAGGTTTAAATCCCCCGCCGGCTCCGCTCCCCCTGTCTGTCACTTCCTCCGCGACGCCCCTCAGCCTCCCTTCCCCCGTGACCTCATCAGCCCGCGCCTCTCTGGCCCCTCCCTCCTGGGCCTTGTCTGTCGGCGCCCTTTGCCTCCCGGCGCTCCCCGCGTCGGGTCCTGATGCGTCCGTGCAGCCCGACGTGCTGGGCCTGTCCGGGCTCCCCGTCCCCCGGTGTGTCCGCCCGGCGTCCCCCCGAGGGGCCAGAGTGCGGGGCGGGAGCGCCCCGTCACAGTAAGGGAGTGGGGAGAGAGTGTGGGGGGCATTATCATATAATTCAGAAATATTTAACACCTAGAGTTATAAAGAACCTCTTATATAAACTGTGATAGTTCCCATTATACATATAGGTACTAATCTTTGTAAGAAGTACCATTGTTACAGTTCAATATGGCATATAAAAACTGTAAGAAAATAAAGTAGTTCTGTTCCCTTAGGTTTGACTCAAAAAGGGTGGTGCAGCAACTGCGAGCATGTGGTGTATTGGAAACTATTCGAATTAGCGCCCAGAGTTATCCATCCAGGTACTTGACTGCTTATTTTTCTTCAATACATCTATTTAGAGCTGATGAAATAATTTACATTCACCAATTTTTTATTTTATAGGTGGACGTACATAGAATTTTTCAGCCGTTACAGCATTCTCATGACACAGCGTGAACTCTCCTTAAGTGACAAGAAGGAGATTTGCAAGATCGTTTTGCAGCGACTAATCCAGGTTAGTGTTCCTGCACCAGTCTGCTCTGTGTTATCATCCATTATAAATAAGGCTATGAATTAGTCATGGGTATATTTAGTAAAAGTCAGGGGCAGGTCATGAGCAATAAACAAAAATTCACAGCCTGTGACCTGTCCATGATTTTTATTCTAAATACCCCAACTAAGACTTAACTGCTCCTGGAGCCCTGGGATGCCGCTGCTCTGGGTTGAGCTGGTAGCCAACAGCTGGCCCCTGCTCTGGTGGAGAGGGCTGACTGCCCCAGCCACCCACTGCTCTGATGGTCCCTGGGGCCACCCTGGAGACTGCTGCTGCTCCTGGACCGATGCTTTGAGTAGGGATGAAAAATCCTGTTTCGTTGGTTATCCAGTTAAATGTTAAATTTAATCAGTTAACTGATTAAAAGGGGGATGGGAAGGGAGGGCTGATCCATCCCAGCTGGGTTGGAGTGGCCCCCTCGCCCACTGTTGCCAGGCTGGAGCAGCCCTGCACCGCTTCAGACGGGAGCTACTCCAGGTCCACCGCAGACAAGGGCTGCTCCGGACAGGCTGGAGTATCTTCCTGTGGTGGGCCTCAAGGGGGCTGGAGTAGCCCTCTGACTAGAGTAGGCAGGACTCTGCTCCAGCTCCTGCGGATTAACCTTAACATTGCTAGTTCTCAGGACTGCTGCTCCTGGGTGGCCCCTGACACCGGCCAGCCCAGTTCGTGCTGAAGCACCCCTGGGACCCCAGCTGCCAGGTCTCCCTGGGGGGCTGCCCCAGCAGCAGCCAGCTTGGCTGGCTCCGGGGTCATCTGCTTTGGTGGCCCTGGCATCAGATGCACCTGAAGAAGTTATGGATGTCCCAGAAAGTCACAGAATCCATGTGCTTAGTGATAGATTCACAACCTTAATTATAAATACAAAGGATCCAATTCACAAAAATATTTACTAATTCTTTAAAGATGAAGGATGATTTAAATATTATTTACCTTATTATTAGGTAAGTCATTTAATCAGCTGTGATGTAGTGGATTGAGCACATAGCTTGTGTCCTTTAGCATGGGCCACTGATTCACAGTGAGCAAATTACTTCATCTATCTGCCCACCTGATTCCCCATCTGTAAAATGGGTAAAATGATATTTGGACTATCTTTAAGCATTTTAGATCAATGAAAAGAAAGTGCTCCATGCATGCCAAGTATTTTTTTTTTTGTATTCTAATGGGCCTCACATACAATAAAGTGCAGTGCTGTTCTAAGAATGTGTTACCTTGCAGTCAAAGTCTTTGAAGCCAAAACTTTGATCTTTCCATCCTCTTGAAGTGGATGATTTCCTTTCTTGAGTTATCTGTATGTGGTTTCTTTCAACTTAAAACTTCCAAAAGTATCCTACCTGCCTTGAACATTAAGTATCCCATGTTAATGATGTGCCTAGAGAGAGAATTTTGGCCATAGTTTGTAAAGTGCTTTGCGATATAATGGTATAAAAAGTGCTGTGAGACTATAAAATATATAAAACTGTCCTTATGCAAATTCCTCAGTCTCTTTTAGCATTTAGGTCCCTAATTTTTTAATCAGAAAGATTGTGAAGTGAGCACAGAGGTTAAATATTTCTCCACATCCATAGTCATTAACAGTGTTCTGACATTTTGGCATAGCTAGGCTACAATGAAAATTTGTGAGATAAAATGCATGTTATTTATCCCTGATCTTCTCCTTTTGGGGCAGGAAAGGAAGATTGCAGATTATAAACCTACCATTTTGTTTTGCAGGATCCTAACCAGTATCAGTTTGGGAGAACAAAAATTTTCTTTCGAGCAGGGCAGGTTGCTTATTTAGAAAAACTGCGGTCAGACAAATTGAGACAAGCATGCATCATGATCCAAAAGAATGTTCGAGGCTGGAGTCAACGGAAGAAATTCCTCCGTATAAAACAAGCAGCTGTTACAATACAGCAGTACTTCCGTGGACAGCGGACTGTACGGTATTTCATAATAAATCCGTTTGCTCTTAGGGCACATGTGAAGAGTTCAGACTCATGCCTGGCATTTACACGCGAGTGTCAATGTGGGGGAGAATTTAAAATTGAATCCAGGTTACCCCTGGGTTGTTGAATACATTTAGAATCCTGAAAATGCTTACACTGTTCGATAGATATTCAGGAATTACTCTGTCAAATTTTAAGTACTGTGGGCATACCTCTGAGGGCCTAGGTATTCCTAAATACTCCCTGACTGCTGCGGAGTGGCATACTAGTTGGTCTGATCTAATTCAGAAAACCTAGAAGGGGTAGGGCAGGTCACATAAACTGGTGTTCTGCTCCCTTGAAGCTCCACACGCCCCAGTATACAGGGACCATGACAGCTTTTGCAGCCCTGAGTCCTCCCCATGCAGAACATGCTGTCAAGGAGAGTGAAGGCTGGAAATAGAAGGTTTCCAAGACAACTGGGGGGAGGAGGTGGAAAAGTTTGGGCTTTTCTTCTGTCCCCGCTGCTGAGATTGGTCAGAGAGGAAGATGTCTTCAGGGCAATGGGGCTCTGTTCCATGGTTACCCGCTGCATTGAAGAGCTGTCATCCAGGATCAGTAGCAGCCTGGCTCCTTCATAGTCTCCATTACTGATTTTTTCCCCCAGCTGCCACACTTGAAGAGAGACAAGCTCCCTGACGGGATAGTGGGGGAAACAGCCTCCCCAGGTGTCACCCTATTGAACCCAGCTCTGTCTGTAGCTGTGAAGGAAACACCACAGAAGCCCCTCAGAGAGGATTCCCCCACAGCATTTGATTAGTATTCTATGCCCACTGGCTGAGCCTGACCAAGAACATAAGAACAGCCGTACTGGGTCAGACCAAAGGTCCATCTAGCCCAGTATCCTGTCTACCAACAGTGGCCAGCACCAGGTGCCCCAGAGAGGGTGAACCGAAGACAACTATCAAGCAATTTGTCTCCTGCCATCCCTCTCCAGCCTTTGACAGACAGAGGCCAAGGACACCATTTTATCCCAAAGCATTAGGATTTGATTAGCATTCTGGGCCCACATGTCACATGAATCACTATTTGGCTCTGTATGTTAGACTTGTTTTTAGGAATAATCCAAATTAAAATGTTACTTACTATGACTGTACCTCAGAGTAAGGAACACCCCATTTGTTGTGACTTCACATGTATTATTTTAAATTACTTACATTACAAATGTTGACTCATGAAACTGGGACTATAGACTTGTCATGGAGTCTTATTTCTTTTGGGTCAGACATTTGGGACTTAAGAGGATGAGCTCAAGGAGTCTAATGTAATTTTATTTATAGTCTAGAATTAAAAATAACATTATTTTCTTTTTTTAATTAAGACAAGCTATTACTGCTACAGCTCTAAAGCAAGCGTGGGCTGCAATAACTATTCAGAAGTACTGTCGAGGGTATCTAGTCCGTAAACTTTGCCAACTCATCCGGGTGGCTGCTATAACAATTCAAGCCTATGTGCGAGGATTTCTAGCAAGGAAGAAATTCCGAAAGGTACAGGCATTTAAGAATTTGACCAAGATCCCCCCCACAAAAAAAAAAAGTTTGAGAACTTGTGTGTTATAAAATGATGAAGGCAAAGTTTAGTGAAGCTCAACGCTATATTTTTTATATGATGGGCTCTTGAATACTTCAGCATGTAGAGGAAATGTTATAGTTTATAACCTCATAATTTCAAGCAGGCTCTTGCACATTTGCTTTACAATTTTTAAAAAGTTGAGGTGGTGTGCTTTGATTACTCCATTGGTTTTGATGTGCTATTTGAATATGTTTTTATTTTTAAAATCCTAACATGGTCATTTATCTCTGTAGGTAGACCCACAGAACATCTGAACAGATGTTGGTTAATCCACCAGATAATTATAGGAGTTTGTTGCTCTCTTGTTTTAAAGATGCTCAAGGAACATAAGGCTGTAATCCTTCAGAAGTATGCTCGTGCTTGGCTTGCAAGACGCAGATTTCAGAATATTCGGCGGTTTGTGTTGAATATCCAGCTTTCATACAGAGTTCAGCGATTGCAAAAGAAACTAGAAGACCAGGTAGATGACAAAAATCCATTAATGTTCTGTATTCATATTCTTTCAATGCGTTTGTTTTATTGAGAGTCGGTCACATTGTGAATTAGACATTTACACTAGTAATATAATCTGTAGTTCATTAGATAAGAAAAAGTTGTATAAGAGATATTGCCCTGATAAGGGTATCAAATAACCACAAATTGCCTTCCCATCTAGGCACACTATTCAATATTTGCCCGTTACGGAGCTTCCTTGAACTTTTTTTGAAGCATTTGGCACTCGTCCCTCTTGATGATGGGATTCTGGAGTAGGAGGGCCAATGGTTAGCTCCACTGTGTGGCAGTTCATATACATGCCACAACTGTTCAGTTACCTCTTTGACTCTGTTCACACTGGGATCAGAACCATATAAGGTGCAACTCTGTTTAAATACATTTGTTGTTTTGAGCGTTCTAGCATGGTTTTCTTTTGAAGAGCCCAATTAGCCCATTTGGTTTTATAATATGGCTTTAACCTCATTTCCAGACAGAATTTCCCTGGTGGTGAACATAATTGAATGAGGTTTGATAGGGGTCAGGTAGTAGATTAGCTGTTTTCTTATAAATGGGTTGGGGGTAAATTGTTTTGTTGTCTATGTATTCCTTGATTCTGTTCCTAGGAATCATTCTTTACTAATATAAGGTTCCAAATCCAGTTAAAAAAAAATAGCTGAAATATTCAATTATTAGAATGCTAGAGATATTAGATTATAAATATTAGAGATTTCCAAGGAAAGACACAAAAGCTAGTCTTTGGTCACTGAGGGTATGTCTACATTGCATTCCTCCTTCGAGGGAGGAATGCAAATGCAGACAAGCAAAATTGCAAATGAAGCACGGATTTGAATTTCCCATACTTCATTTCCATAATCACATCGGGGTGCTATTTCGAAATACCCTATTTCAAAAAAAGAAACCTTATAAAATGAGGTTTAAGGGTAATTTTGAAAGAAGGGTTTTCTTTCGAAATAACCGTGTCTAGACTGCTTTTCTTTTTTTGAAATAGGGTATTTCAAAATAGCACCAGGATGTGATTATGCAAATGAAGCATGGGAAATTCAAATCCGCGTTTCATTTGCAATTTCACTCAGCTGCATTTACATTCTTCTCTCAAAAGAGGAATG